GCTGAGAACATCAGTGCCTTAGTTTTATTGTCTGTCTCCTGCAGTCTATAAATCCCAACTTTTACTACCTTTGTTTTCATCATGCCAATCAAATGCTTGATTTCCCAAGGAATAAATTACCAGATAAATCACTATTTGGAAACACAGCTCTCTCTCTTCGACAGTGCCTTATTTCTTGTGACATTGCATGCATATTCTCCAGTACCACTATGCAGAAATTGTCCAGATTTCTAGGTGATGTCAGAACACAGAAAAAGGATAACATTACTACCTCTAGAGAGTGCAAGACAACACTGTATTATGCAGGTAGATAGAGCAGTGTACTGCAGAAAGAAGAGCTAATTAAGGTGGGGACAACAGGGGGGAAGGGAGAGGGCAGTCTGCTCCTTAAAGTAGCTTGGTATGATGATAAAGCACCTACCTGGTAGTAAAGATTAAGAATGTTAGTATCATAGAAACATAGAATGCGTTGGGTTGGAAGGGACCTCTAAAGGTCATCTAGTCTAACTCCCCCTACAATAAGCAGGGACATCTCCAACAAGACCAGGTTGCTCAGAGCCCCATGAAGCCCGGACTTGAATGTCTCCGGGGAGGGGACCTCCAGTGGAAGACATTATGGACTTGGTAGGATGTGGGTGTGCAGTACACTGTAAATGCAGTACAGGGAAGCTGAAGCAAAACCACACTAAATACCTAGATCCAAATGATTGCAAGAACTTCAGAATCTTTTCGTTCCCTCTGGGGAATTAATTTTATGGGCTGTGTAAATGGTGTCTCTAAGAGCAGTTAAAACACCTGTCTTGAACAGTTATTAAGTTATTAGTTATTAAGCCTTCCACAGGCCTACACCAGGGTTGTTTTAAAAAAAACATTAGGATAAATATGGAAAGCATCATGACAAGGAGTCCTGAAAGTGTATAGTTTTTTTAAGAAGTCCATGGCACTGGGTGCTACTGTACACGAGAGTGTTTGATGCACTTGCTGCACCTGCTGCAGCTGGCAGGCAAGAAGGCAGCAAAATCTACTGCAAGTTAGATGAATGCATCAGTGAGAAAATACAGATAATTTTGCAAGATTTGGCCATCTGGGAATCAGGACACATGCAACTGAGAGCATTAAGTTGTGACTGACATCTGGCACTTCTGGCACTTCTTGAAATATGTGGTTTGGGGTATCAAACTGATCTATTGACACATTACTGTGCCATTTACCTGCTGTATACTCCATTTTTAAATGTACCCTCTCTAGAACAATCTTCACTTACTAGACTGAGCATTTTCATGGCTGTGGGAAGCTTGAGTTTGAATCTCCCTAGCTAAGATTGAGTTAACTCAAGCCTTTTTTGTGGGCTTCTGCTTTAACAGCTATGACTTTATGGAAAAGGTGGTTCAGCCCTTGTAACTTAGAAAGCACTCCAGGCTTCCTGGAAGCACTTGAGGCATGCAAAGATCATATCTATCAAATTGAGTTCCTCAGGGTACTTTTGATGTAGGAACACTTAGCTTTCGAATTTTAAAACAGAGGCAGGTATTTAGGCATCTTTCTCCATCAATACAGAAGCACTCTGTGCATGTAAAGAATCAGGACTTAAAGCTGCCAAAGAAGGACCAACCTAAGAGGTTCAAATAGAGGTTCAAACTGCTGTGCTCCAAGCAGCAGGTTAGTATACATAGACCAGGGGATATCAGATGTCTGTGACATTTTAGATATGTAGACAATTAGATGTGGGTTTTTTTGATTGCTCTATTAAATCTAGTTGTCCCTGGACTGCACTGCAGATACCTTAGGGGTATCTTGGATTTTATCCTTAGCAATTGACCTAGACTTTGATGTCTGAAACATAAACAGTGCATTGGTTTTCAATCTAATTTTTTAATGTCACCTGGTTTATAAGGGGGGTCTTTTAATTTTAGATTTGGTTTCGGTTTTTTGAGGGTTTTTTGGTGTTGGTTTGTTTCACTGTTTTGTTTTTTTTTAGGGGGAGATGTTTGTGGTTTGTTTTTTTTTAAGGGAAAATTCAGTGTTACTAGGCTTCACAGTACTTTGTTTTTATCTTATGATGGAGCTGAGTGGCACATTCTCAGACAATAATTGTAGAGCATGTGAAAATATGAAATAATCAGAAGCATGTCCAAAAGTAAAGGTTAGTTACCATATTCATCTCCAATGTATGCCTGTGTGTCCTCAGTCACTGTGTTTCTGAAGGTATCCAGTGAAAGACATATAGGAAGGTTTATTAGAAAACTCTGTTTTCGCAGACTGGAACTAAAAGAGAATTTTAAAGGGAAGTACAGGAAAGACTTGAGTGTGAAACCGTGGGGAAAGCAGAGAATGTTTTTCAGTCTTCTTCTGCAACCATCATGAGATAATGTACACTACAAAAAGAGATGGAGTTTAAACTAGAAACTTAGACAAGTTCTAAGAGTTTAAATCTACTCGGCAAACAAAGCTGCTGAGGGCTTGGGTGTTTTTTGGTGAAAGCAGATCTGCAAATTGATTACAATAAAGGTATATTTTGCCAGTAAACTTTGGCTTTTTGCTGGGAGCAGCAGGTTTTTTTTGCCTAAAAGCATCAGAAGCACAGTACATTTGCATGTTAGTTTTGCATGATGGAGCAGAGATACCATGTGGAGAAAAAGTATATGCTGTAAAACTGATTTCCTACTGAAATGGTTCATGAACCACTACTATAAAGATATTGCAAAATTTCTTATTTACTGAAGTGACAATTTCAAAAAATTTTCTATTCTCCCCATCAAAAAGCCTTGGTGTAAAGCCTGTTGAGAATAAAATTCCCTGGAATTGACCTGAGGGGCTTGATTCTCAGTTGTTGTATACATTGGCATAACTCCTGCAGCCTTCAATCAAAGCTGTGCTGATATGTGGTAGGTAGCAATGGTCTCTCAGGTCTCAGTTCTGAAAGAATCTGAACACTTCTTGCTATGTGTCAATAACTATTTATACCCTCACAGGTAGTGCTCTTGCAGGATTTGGGTCCTTCCAAAGATGCTCTCAAGAGGGGTTCCGTTTGCTTCTTCTGAAATCAGACCCTAGGAAGAGCTTGCTTTTTTTTTAATCTTTTACTTTCCATTTCTTCAGTCTTCATTTCATACCATTACATACTTTGACCAATCCTGTTCCAGGCTGAATAATTCCCTGAGCTTCTTCTGTTTCATCTTTAAATGAAACAGGGTGTTGTTTGGCTACATTTCATAAAAAGTGTCATTTAATTCAACATCTTAAGGCATGATCACATAATCATCCCATTCTCACCATGTCTTTGGCCTTACCTATGCTTAGAAGTTCATCCAGATTAAGGCATGAAGTGAATTTAAAATGCAAGAGGTATTCCCAGTCACTCAGTGTGTATCTGAACAATCCAGGACAACTATGGGAAAAGGAGACACTGCATTCATCTCCTGAAAAAGAGCTTGATAGCATTTGAGCTTCTAACTCTTCCTTCTTTCCAGCTACATGGGAAAGAGACCTGAGCTCTGTCATAATCTTTATGTGGAAGAGATCTAAAATGGACTCGATGCTGTATGTGACCTATGACAGTTGCCCTGTTCCATCCCTCCTCTCTCTGTCTGTCTGAAAGGAAACTGGCTAATTTTGGCTAAAAAATTCACTACTGAGACACAGGTGATGCCCTTGAACTCTCCTGCTTGCTTCCTCCTCACACAGTAGTTTTTGTTCTCTTACACTAAAGGCTGTGCTCATTGAAGATGAGCACGAGGGTTTGCATCATCTGGAATTAGTGTTTCCTGGATCTGAGCAGATAAACTTCTGATATGTGTCTGTTGGTGGCTGTGGGAGATGGGATTTAATGACCTGGATCATCTTGCTCCATCTGCTGTTCCTACTTGCTGAGTGGACGTGCAGAAGAAGAAATTCAGCTTTTGCTTTTCTCTTTGAGTCTTTTAGTAGCTATAAAACCAGAAAGTATGATGTTTACATGGGTTTATGCATTACTCCATACAGAGTAATCTGATTCGGAAAAGTGTTAAAAGCAGTATTAAACTGTCTAGGCACATTTCACAGAATTCTCAAAAGAAGATTGTGATGGCAGAGGCATTTGTGAATATTTCAGTATAAACCTCACACTCAATTTCCTTAAAATCATAGTTTTTTTCTATTTTTGCTTCTTATTCAGCTAAACAAGCTTGGTATTTTCCAGTATCACTTTTCAATAAGAGATCTCTTTCTAACTAGCTTTGGTTCTGCAGAACACTAACAGGTGCTCCTCTATTTTATTTATTTGGCTCTAACCCAAACCTGAGCCAAATAAGGTGTAAAGTATATGGAACACTATCCAGCGTTGCCCAGTTATTTAGAATTAATGAAAAAAGGGAGTAGATTTGGTTTAGAAAAAGTAGCAATGAAGTAAGCAGTGATTTTCCAAGACAATTTGCAGTCCCTTAAAACTGTTTCTGTTATTCACTTCTCTGCTTAAATGGGAAGAAACCTGATTATTTTTTGTTTGTTTTAAAAAGATATAGGTTAGATCTTTGGAGAAATTGCTACCCCAACTTTTCTTCACTGTATGTATAATTTTTTAAGGGCAAGTAAACATTTTGATAGCTGCAGTTAAGCTATTATATAATATAACTCATCTAACTGCTTGCATTAAAGTACAACTGCTTCATGATAACTACATTCATTTTACTTAATTACAACTTTTGCATTCAGATTTAACTATGGAATCATAGAAGAAGTGCTTGTATTTTTTTCAAGTACCAAATTAACTAGATTATGCCAAAAATGTGATTATGAATGGTTTAGAACAGGAAAATAAAATGAAAGCTAGGATGTTTTTGTACAGCTTGGAAAAGATGGAGTAATAAAAATAATTCAGTATGGAAAAATGTATGAGACAGCATTAAAAAGTACACAGAAGACACAGGCAGGAATTAGTTATCTGTGTGCTGAAGCCAATGGATGCTGCACCATTGACCACATCAAGCCTCTTACTCAAAAGGGAAAATCCTTTGAGTTCTTACCTGTACACTAGTAAGGGTGGTGTATTGATAAGCTTTGACTACCAGGTAATTGGCTTCTATGTCTATTATCCCCAGGATCATGTACTTCCACCATCTCCTTTTCAAAATTGCCAGCAGATTTTCTTCTCCTGTGGTAATAAATAAGAACAATTATGTAACCGAGTTAGATTTACATGCACAAAATACTTGCCTATCAAGACAAATTACTTAGAAGATCCCTTGAATTTATAATATGCAGATAAAATGCACCATATATAACTAGGTACTGCAAGGAGGTGTAAACTCACACACCCTATTTGTCTCACAGATATTAAACCAGGTAGGTTGGTGAAGCAGAATGTGGGGTTCAGATTGTCACTTCACTCAAGATGTAAACAATGCTGGGAAAAATAATTGCTGCTTGGGCAGAATTTAAATGTGTTCCTAGTTTTACTTTTATATATACAGATAGAAAATGCTAAAGAATAGAGCAGGTTATTATGTACATTTATACTTTCCATACATACTGACAAATATTGTATGACACATGATGCAAGGGTTTTGGCAGAGTGGGAGATTACCAGTATTTGCAAATATGATGGAATATTAAAGCAGGAGAGTAACAGTATCACCTATAGGCAGATTACAGATCTTGGTCCAAGGATGGTTATGATGACCCTAGAGGTTCAAAGTATTAGACTTGTTTAGATAAAGGTTGCACTGAGACAGAGATTTTGCATGACAGGTTGCTCTGCTCCCAGGATCTGTTTCTGAAGAAGGCAGATCCTTCTGTGGGAGCCTTGTCAATCACCCAATACTTAATTTCCACCATGTGAAGACTGACAGTACAATGCAGCCTGAAGATCAAACCCACAACTTTCAAAAGGTCAAAGCATTTCTCAGGGTAAGCTAGGGATCATTATTGTTCTCCATTCAAAAGGAACCAGCTCATTAGTGAGGGTGGGCAAACCTGCTACTTATTTGCATTACAGTAAGCTCCAGACATGATGGGACCCCACTGTGAAAGGGGCCAGGCAAACTGACTGTGACCTAAAACAGTTCAACTGGAGGTCTTTAAGTAGTCTAAACAGGGATCTAAGTAAGGTTGACCTGTTCTGCCAAAGTACCATACATGGAATTTGAATTGTCTTGAAAGTTTAAAGAAAAAAAACAGTACTCTGAGATTTGTTCCTGTTGCTGCAGCCTTTTTAAGTGCCTGTGATCACCAAAATGAGTGGTGGAGAATACAGAAGAAAAGGAATATTGCTGTTAATAGCCACCAAAGCTTGCTCAGGCTTCCCAATCCTCCCTGATAATTTTCCACCCTCACAACTGTGTCTGGTGATTTATGGGCTGCCACACCATCAGAAATGGCAGGCTCTCTATAGCACAGGAATTCCTCAGATCTTACAAGATGCAATCACAGAAAAATAGATAATTACTTCAGAAGTTGATTCAGAAAACGTAGGTGCTAAATGTTGGCCCCACTGAGGGATCTGCATGGGTATTTATGTGAACAAAGCATCTGGAGCATTTTATATTTGTTCATTCACAGATGCTCATACATTCACACTTCCAGTGGGGTATTATTAGGCAACAACCTAATTATTTGTTACAGTGATAACAACACTGAGTGCAAAACTGTAAGTGCTAAAAAGTTTCCCCTCCCTGCCCTCCCTACGCTCCCTCCTTCCTCTCCCTCACTCTCTTTCACTTTCTTTTTCTCCCTCAGAAAGCAGCAGAGAAAAAACAAGGTGGTGAGTAGGCTAATTAAGACCCTAAATAAGAAGTCAGTACATTCAACCATACCACACTTTCCTAATTTCCATTAAAATGCAAAACACACAAATAGATCCTTTCCAGTTACAGAAACTGCATCTTTAATTTTTATGCTGCCCAGCCTTTAAAACACCAATAACAATTACATGGAAAGGCATAGTTAACACTTCAGAGTGATTTTTTTGTTTGTTTGTTTTAATTGTAAAGAGATCATTTAAAAATCCAAGACATCATTCTCTATTCCAACAGTGAAAATCCACCTGAATCTGGGTTTTGTTACAGCAGGACTTTGATGGTGCCTGCAGAGCAGAAAGAGGCAACAGGCTCAAGAACTGCACTGGCAGTAGGTTGCCTGAACAAGGACTATTGTCACACTGGAAGGACTCTTTTGGTGCCTTTGGTTTGCCAGTGCTTTCTTTCTCCAGCTTCAGTTTTCAACCACTGTTCAGATGAGGCCAAGTTAGCTTCAAAAACAAATGTATGGCCATGACTTCTGGCTAATGGTAAAGCCACAGTTTCCAGAGATGGAAATCAAATCTTCTACAATTTTTACTTACATACATGGTTCTCTGCTTTGATTTCTCAATCCTTCCTTTGCTAAGGACAGAAATAAGAATATTTGGCAAGTGGCATTTTATCTTTGATGCACAGCCCAGACAAGTAACAGGTTCAGCTGAGAAGGCTGGGCAGAGCAAAAAGCTGTGCTGAAACAAATGGATGCATTTGTTTAGCTTCACAGCAAGTGCCTTTGTCTCACCCAGTGGAGAGCAGAGAGATGTACAGATGTTCAGTGTGACAGAAATAAAATAGAGAATTTGTTCCTGGGAAAAAAAACCACAACAAAACCAAACACAAAAAAACCCAAAAACAAAACAACGTGTGCAGGAGTTGCATGTTTCTCTGTGGAAAGTACGTAACCTTTGTTTCTACTCACTTGCTGCATCTCCTGTTACATAGTGTGTAAGAAAGGTCTGGCTTCTCACCAGGGTATCTCTGCCCACCTTTTTACTGTTATTTATCATTAACATAGAAGTTGTGCAGATCTGCAAGCGTTAGCAGAAGTGACAGACTCATTTTGAGGGTATATCTGAGTAAAACATAATACGTGTTTATCATTGTTAATCATGGGGACTGTTACTTGTTTACCACTCTCTGTCTCTGTGGCATTGTCATCACAATTCACAGAAGGGAATGAATTGCTCCCGAAGTGGGAGAATTTCTGTGGAAAAGGGCAGGAGAAAGAAGATGATAATCTGCAGTGTCAGTCAGTCCAATGCTATGGACAAATCAAAGAAGAGGCAGGTGGAGTCCTGGTCTTGAAATGGGGCTGAAATAAAGACACTATATTCAAATGTCAAGCTTTTGGAAGAGTGACCCAGTAGAAGGCAACAGTACAAGACATCCTGGAGAAGACATGGGCTGCCAGCAGGACAGGACCTCTGGACAGCAATCACAGATGGCATCCTCAGTGAACTCAAACAAGGAAAAGGAAAATGGGAGTTAGGGAGCTAAGTGGGAAGCCTTCACTTAACTAGGGAAGACTAAAATGAGAAGCAGAGGGAATCAAGAGCTTCATTCAGAAGTCTGTATCCTGAATAGAAATAAACATCACCTTTGCATAAAAACAAAGTAGAGGAAAAAAATATCACAGTTAAAAACAAAACAAGAAGATATAATCTGGATTTTTTAAATTTCCCTGGATGGCAACTCAAAGTAAACTAATTAATCAGGTCTTTTGAGTTATAAGCACTGTAGCCCAGATGGACTGAACATAGATGCCTACACCTGAACTAGCTGGTAAGGCATTTTTAAAGCACTTTTCACCTAACATATTGCAGATGAATTGTTCAGGATGAGATAACCAGTGTTTTGAGAAAAAACATTTATCCTACTAAACATTAGAAGAGATTATGTCAGATCATGTGTTTTTGTTATTACGTCTATAGGAGTCTGAGTAAGACTTCCAGCCACTCATATAAACAAATACTAAATAAGTGTGAATGCACATATTAATGCCTACTTCAGGCAGTGCCACCTTTGGATGGAAATCTACTTTCAAAAAACAAAATCAACCCCCTACTTCTGTCAGCACTTGAGCTTTTGAAAACGTAAGTCCTTATATTCATTCTAATCCAAATGTAATGTACATTTAGAAGTAATCTGCCTATTAAGAATGTCTTAAGATTCAGAAGTCTAACAACATTAACACAGAGAATTACAAACCCCCTCTCTTTACTCTTTCAAGAAGGATAGGGTAAAGGTTTGCTAGGGTTTTTTAAAATAATTTTGCAGTGTGACACACATTTGACAGCTCTAAGTACTAGCAGCTCTCAGTATTTGGAAAAATGCTGCAGCTTTGCCTCTGCTGGTTCAAATTAAAAATCAACAAATAAGCCACTTTGCAGAAGAGATGATTTTACATCATATAATAAGGATTTACCCCTGGGGGGTTACAAAATTAAAAATAAATTAAAGAGAAAATTAAAAGAGGATTTAGCCGTGCAGTGTCTACCAAAAATACATATATATATGTGCAGATCCTTTTCACATTCACCCACACAGCCACAGAGGTACAATAAAAAAACCCAACAGCCATTAAGACAGCAAATTCCCAATTATTTGTGTATGAGCTTGGGACACAGGTAGAATAACAGCACTGCTAGACCAGAAAATAAGCATATTGCTTCTCTTTCATCTGCTGCAGTCTCTCTCTTTTAAATTAGATCACAATTTTCTATTAAAGGAGCTGTGTTCTCCTCCTTTACAGCACAGAGCTCAGCAGAAGAGATCTAAATGTGTGCAGAAGACTTGCCAGGGGGAAGGCAGCACAGAAGGAGGGCTGCTGGGCATGCTGGTCCTCCCCTCCCCCCTAACAGAAGCATCAGAGTCAAGGGCTACATGGTAAAGGGACAAGAGCTCCACAGAAGATGAGGGTTAGACCAACATTTACTTATGATCACTTTCTTTGAAAAAGAACCTTAATTACAAAGCACAATTGTGGGATAATTGATTTTTTTTTTCCATTTTCATACAATAACAAGTCTTGCAAACATGCAACTTCATCAGTAACACCATTTCTTCTCTGCAGACTTTGTAGTCATCCAGCTGTGCTGCAGGACCAGGGCGAGGAGGCAAACAAATGGGATAATACCATGCAGGGGTAACACGGATCTTCTCTGTATTACAATGGCAAGAAGTTCCCAGGACTGAGCTATAAAACCTTGCTTGTCTTCTGCTTGGCCAAGTTGCTGGTTCAGGGGACTTAAAGCCTGTTGTAGGTGGTTTTCAGTTCCCCACAAAGCTTGAAAGAACTGTCTCCCTTCTGTGTGATGTTAAATCCTTGCCTCAGAATGGCTTCATCTTTCCTCCT